TTAAACAAGAATGTTGTCTATCTCTGACCTTACTTAAAATATATATTTAATCATCCATAGAGCAGTTTAGGAAACAATTATCCGGAATAAGAATTGAGATAGGCGGTAGTAAATATTTAACAACTTTATTTTTCGTAGATGATCGGGTAGTCGTAGGGAATGATAAGGAAGACATGGACTACATGTTTAGAAAACTAAAGAAAGAATATGAAAAATGGAGCCTCAATATGAATATGTCAAAGATAGAGTATCTTAAAATAGGAGATGATGAACAAGATCCAAAGTTAGAAATTAGAAACACAAAAACATGCAATGAATATAAATATTTTGGATCTATGATATCTAAAGAATGCACTACCAAAAGAGACATCGAAAACAAAACGCAGCAGGGGAAAAAAGTGGTAAACATTCTAAACTCTCTACTATGGTCTAAAGATATTAAACAAGAATCGAAATTGACAATCTATCGAACCTTGGTAGAGCCTATTATGACTTATGTGGCAGCAGTTTGGCAGATCATGAAAAAAAGATAGAAAAAGAATAGAAGTAGTAGAAATGGATTTTTTAAGGAGAGCGTGTGAAGTATCCAAAAAGATCATAATATCAGGAATGAAGATATTAGAAGGAGGACAAATACTATATATTCTAGTATATATTCCTAAAATTAAAACGAGACAACTAATGTGGTATGGTCACGTAAAGCGAATACTTAATTTACAGTGTACATTTTTTTCTTGTATTCATTTGTTATAAATTCCTTTAGTCTTATTACCTGTAATTCGCAGGAGTATTCACTTCTAAATTCGAATTGAGCCTTAGGAATAGTGCCTAAGGCCTGTGGCTCTTCGTTGAGTCTATTCAGGATTACTCTTTCCGCTATTTTGCTTATTGGCGGTATAAGCTGATGGGTCTTTAGTTTTGTGAAAAGGTGCCATTTTCCCCCGGCTTTGCAATCATGATAATATGAGTTTGATTATATGAGTTGGTAATATATACGACAGCTTTTACTGGTAGATTCTTTAGCGCTCTGTTTCTTATGTTGTCTCGTCCTGGAGCTTTTCTTGGCGTTTGTCAATTTTATAAGTTGTTTAATCTCTTCAGAGGAGGTATGGATTATACCTATTCTGCCCTTTCTTTTCTTGATGTTTTTAGCTGTTCTTTCTACTTCCTGGGTGAAGTATAGGTCTTCGTAGGGATGTTCGTTGTTTTTACAAGCCCTTTCTAGTTTTTCCTTCATGACTTCCGCTTTTTCTTTTTCCATATGTACGATGCCATTTTCATCGTATAATGGTGGTATTGGTTTTTTTATCTTTATGAAAAAATTTTAGATAGTTTCCAGAACACGGACCTATTTAAATTTAACGTTTATATATAGGAGTCCGATTAATCGTTTCTATGGTTTTAAAGTTGTTTTTTTACTTTCCTGTCTAATTCGTTTGCAATTCGTTTGTCTGCTCTTGTTCTTGTTCAGTATACTCTTCTTATCTTTTTATTTTTTTCTTTAATTAGGTTTTTTTTGTTCTTTGCTAATATCCCTAAATATTTCTCACTGAGTGGTAACGGTTTCTGGTTTGGAGCTAGCATCAATGGCATTTGCTATTGTTTGCTCTAGTTTTATCACACTTTCTTCGAGTTGTGTAATATTGTTGATTCTTGGTGTAATGCCGATGTTTTTGATCACCATTCTTTTATAGTTTAGCCAACTTGTTTTCTTTTTATAGGGGCTGCAAATAGTTTTTTTCTATAGCACCCAGTGTCAGAATGATTAGATTGTGTGTCGAATCGCCTTCGTTTATAGAATGTATGTAAAATGTGTGGAAAGGATTCCGTGGAAACATGTCGGATCTGTTGGTCCGATTCCGTATGTATTAGGTCTTTCTTCGAAATATCCACACAGCAGTCTTCCTGATTGGTTGCCCTGTCGTACCAATTGGAACATCTCGCATTCAGATTGCCTATAATTATTGTGGGTTCTTCTGAGTTCACTATTAGGCTCAATCTTTTTTTTTGCATTTCTAACTCGAATCCATTCGGTTTCTTTACTTAGTTCTTCGTCGCCAGTGCCTGAAATGACTATTGGTTGGATCGAGTAGCTTAACAGTTATTCTTGCCTGTTTCAAGCCCAAATTAAAGAGAAGGGTTAAGACGAATTCCAACAACCTGCCCTTGTAAACAGCCTCTTATGAAAACTGCAAATGTGCCTCTGAATCGAATGGATACATATTTAAGACGACAATCGCAATGGACGAGGACTTTGAATAGTGGAACGTGGAACGTTTTAAGTTGGACCGGAGAAGAACATCCATACACGCAGTAGCACAGTTAAAAAAGTAGTAATGGACATTGCAGCAATACAAGAACTAAGGTGGATGGACAGTGAAGCGATAAGAATAGACAAGGTGGTAGTTTTCTTCAGTAGAATCCAAACAAGAAAACACGAATTAGGCACAGTTTTTGCGGCCCAAAAAGAATACTTTAATAGTGTTTAACAATACTTTGACAGAAAATAAAGACGAAAATTTAAACAGGGCCTCTATGAACAACCCGAAAGAACGCGAAGCAAATCCTAAAACAAGACGTACAAATAATCTATGCAGACTTCAACGCAAAAATTGGCAAATAACCCAACTTAAAAGCGACAATAGAACAACATAGCCTCAACGATATCCCACACCATATTGGACAAAGACTTTTAGAGCTAGCATCGGCTAACAAGTGGCTTGTAAAGTTTACAATGTTCCAACATAAAAAACATTCATAAACAGACTTGGGTCTCAAAGGACAACTCCACATGGAACCAAACTAACCACGTAATTGTCGATGGTAGATATGGTAGTAATATTCTAGGTGTAAGATGCTAAGGGGAGTAGTTGGAGATATAGGCCATTATCTACTGACAGCGTTATTCATTATCTCCAATATCTATCAGGTTGAAAATATCACCACAGAAACATAAAACCAACGAATCATTGGAACAGTGGAATATCAAGAAAATGCAAAATTAGCAAATCCAAGAAAGTTACGTATAGGAAATGAAACCAAAACCTAAATATAGTAGACCAGAGCAATGGTATCGAAAAGCTGTGGCAACAAATGAAAAAATTAATTACAGAGAGAGCAGAACTAATAATAGGAAAATGCAGGATAGGAAGAAGGAATTAGTTTTATAAAGAATACCAAGAAAAAATACAAGACATACAGAAAAAGCGAAACTCAAAAATAGACGAATTATTGCAACTAATTAACAAATTAGGGATAGCAAGAGCTCCAGGTTCCGACAATACACCCATCCATAAGAAGGGAACAAAACCAAATACTCTAATTACAGAGGCATTTCCCTACTTAATACGACGTATGAAATCTTATTGAACATCCCATTAATAGGGGATTAAATGTAGCACTAAACCTACCAATTTTCCTCACCAAGATGAATCGCTGTAAAATTTTTTGTATTCAATTCGGAGAAGGAAAGTTAGTGAACAAATTGTATGGTAATAAACTAAATATTGCATTTTTTGCATAAGAAAAATGTATTTCCAAAGTGCATATAAAATGTAGAATTTACAATATTAAGCAAATATTGACAGGAATAAGTTAAGTTTTGTTACTCGGCGGTTTTAGAGGTCAGTGAACACGAATATGATAATGACGATGGTCGTCGAGCTACGTTCTACCCAGGGTGAACCTCGTCTCCTGGAATATCTTAATTTTTCATTATAAATCAGTGGATAGTCATAACCCGTGTGTTTTCTAGGTCGCTGAACACAAATAAGATAACAACCTTGGTCTATGAGCTAACTGGTACTCAGGATAGACCTCGTACCCTGGAGTTTTATTTTATTTTTATTAAAAACCAGTCGAATTTCAAGACTTTTCCAGATTGCTGAAAACGAATATCATGACGGCGATTATCTTCTTATCTAATAAGAGTTAAAATATGAATTCTTGAATATAAATAAATTTTTTTTAACTACATATGTAAGTAAAATAAAGATCAACAAAGAATCGAATCATATAAATTTATTTCTTCCTCATATTCTTCTGTATCAGATAATCGATTTTCTTGATAGGTTTTCATTTTTGTGCAATTTTCACCCAGCAAAATTTTTACGTGAAAAATTGCAAACCAAGTCATTCTTTCTATATCCGCATTTTTATATTAGAATCCGTGATTTTCATAATATTAAGAAATAGGGGAGAAAAAAACGCAATATAACTATGTAACTTGGATGATATCTGTTTACTAGTACATGTGAGAGAATAAGTATAAGAGCACATGTAAAAGTAAAAGGCGGGAACTGCTACTGGGAAAATTATAATATATATCACCTGACACATCAGCTTAAAAGTGCCAAATTTTAAAAAGATTATTTTGCATAACTTTGTGTAGTTTTATATAAAGTTTTATGAGTCTAAGTTCATTTATCAAAAAATATTCATGTTCAGCGACTTCGAAAATCCTCGAGAAATGACTGTCGACTGATTAGAATGAAATTAACATAAAACTTTAGAAGATGAGGTCCACTTTGGACACTAAGTAGCTCAAGGACCATCGTCGTTATCATATTCGTATTCATTTATCTTAAAACCCCTTGAGAATTTACTGATTTAGAATGAAAATAACATACTCCAGGAGACGAGGTCCACCGTCGCCTAATTAGCATGTTGTGACTGGCTATATGGGATTTGTGGATGTGCATATGATGATAATATTCAATTAAGAAATCTAAAGTGAAGACTAAACTGCAGCCCTTATGCCATGTACTTATCTAATCCACTAGTATTTATTTGGTTATACTTTATTCACACTTGTCTTATATGTCCATGGAACGTCTCCTATCAGTCAGTTGATAAAACATTACTTGTTAAAATCTCATTATAAATAATTGAGAAGTCAATCACTAAATGTCCTATAAGTTTTAAATAAATTAGTTATTAAGTATGCATATTATTTTATCTTTTTACTTTTTTTACAGGAAATCAATTATAACAAAGCATCAATGTTTTTGGATGGAAAGTACGTCGTTCCCACTGGTGCCGGTTTACCACTTTCTCTTACAGCCACAGGAACAGCATCGATTAATATTAAATTATTTGGCTCACTAGCATCAACAGGATACTCAGCAGATAAGGAATTTGAACTTAACCTCACAGGTATTTTATATTTTTATTTATTGAACAGATAATTTAAAAACATTTTGACATTCTTTATTGTCTTTCTCAAAGTTGAATAGTACTCGTTTGACTTCCTTCAAGTAAGTATTATGTCGATAGCAGCTACGGAAAGTAAGAAAAATGCGACAATACTATGTTAGGCAATACTTGATTAACAAAATTAAGTTCTCTAATTTGACTTACGCCTTCTTCTCCTCCTCTTTTTTTTTTCTCCTTCGTAAGGATGTAGTGGCGTTATTTGTTCGACTATTTATGTTTAATTATCGTGCATTATAAGCATCCTGCTGTAGATCTTCCTATTGATCTCTTACCCGCTATGTTGCCTTCAAATATCAATATTTCCATGCATTCTCTTCTTCTAGTTATATGTCGAAAAATATATTTTGTTTGAGAGTAGTGGTGAGTCTAGATTTGTAAAGTTTTTCTAGTATTGATTTATTGTGTGATATTGCGGTCCATAAATGTGCAACATTTTACAATAGATTCATATTTCAAATGTCATTATACGCTTCGAATTGACGTCTTTGATGGTTTATATTTCACGCGTACGGCGTAATTGTTTGCGTCAGTGTTCTCCCATATTTTTCTGAGTTTGATTTGCCGATCTGGCCATTGCGATGAATCTCGTCTTCGCACACTTCACTGTTACTGATGGCAGAGCCTAAGTAATTAAATTGTCTGGTCACTGCGTAACCTGCCATAGTTCTTATATCTGTTAAGTTGTTTCGGTTTCTGGCAATGATCAGTACTGTGGTTTTTTGTATATTTATTTTTAAACCATATTTCGTACTCATCGTGTCCAGCTTATTGAAAATTTGATCCAGTAGTTCTGTTGAGGACACAAATGTAACCGTATCATCAGTATATGGTAGTTTTCTTTATTTTTTTTCTCCTATAGTTGCTTTGTGTTACGCTTCCTTAAAACCTTGACGCATAATGTGCTTACAATTGTCCTACTCCTCAGTCCTAATCCCTTTTGGAATGTGGTAACACCATCAGGCCTTTACAGTTTTTTCACGATTTCCCTTCATCCTTCTCTGTCCTGGGCTAGTTGTTCTGCTTCACGTAACTCTTGGTTAATCAATATTTTTGTTTGATCTGCACAACGGCTGCTTGGAGATCTTCCCCTATGTCTCTTTCCTTCAACTCTACCCTTGACTATTAGTTTTTCCATCGTACCTGTTCTTCTAGCAATGCGCCAAAAATACTGCAAATATCTGTTGTATTTGTTTAAGCAATATATCCGCTTTTTTTAAGGTCCACGTTTCGGATGCATGTGTGGCAATGGGAAAAATAAGCGCCCTTACCAGCCTTAGTTTTGTGTGTAGTGTGTATTTTTATAATAAAATTTTTCCAAATTGCTACCAGTTTCATCATAGCTGTTCTAGCAATAGTCAACCTTCTACGTATCTCTCTGTCACATCCTCCGTCATTTGTTATTAGGGACCCCAGGTATATGAAACCATTTATTACTTGAAAGTCCCCAATTTCTTTAATGTGTTGAAGAATATTTCGAGCTCTGTCGACTATCATGATCTTTTGAATGTGTTTACAATAGAATGGGTCATATTATACATCTACATTTTTACTTTTATATTAGTGGTATTATTTGCATTAAGTTCTTATAATCAATAGATTAGATGTTCTGGAGTAATCATTTCTCTAGGTATATCTCACATTTTATTTCATTTTACGTTATCGAAGGCATTGGAGAAGTCAATGAAGCGCAAATTTGTTTTTATATTAAACTCTCGTGATTTTTCTATAATTTCACAAATATTGAGAATGTGTTCTTCTGTTATCCTACCTGGAACGAATCCGCATTGTTCTTAAGTAATTTGTGGAAGATTATTAAATTAAGTCTTTCTAACTGCAACTGCAGGTACGAGTATTTTCAAAATATGGGAAAAGAAACAAGAAAAGTTTTCTTACAAATGTTTAACAAAATAGGTGACAAAATTTGCAAAATATCTATTTGGGAGGGTTGATTCAAACTAGGTACTACTATTCAAAAAACTCGAAAAAAGACTAATGAAAGACAAGACCCCACTCATCATCATCATCATAATTTTGGCTTTACAACCCTGTGTGGGTCCTACCCTCCCCAAGAATTCTCTTCCAGTCATCCCTATCCATCGCCTTCCTTCGCCAAGCACGTATTTCCATATTTCTCATATCTTGGTCCATGTTATCTAGGAATTTTGTTCTGGATCTTCCTCTTCTTCTTTGACCAATAGGTCTCTCAAGGAGCGTTTTTCTAGCTAGGTCGGTTTGCTACATCCGCATTACATGGCCTACCCACCTCAGACGTCCTATCTTAATGTGTTTTACGATATCTGGTTCCTGGTATATTCTATAGATTAATTAAAATGAGGTTGAATGCTCGAATAAATGAACGTTGAAAAATAAGGCTATTATCGAGCACAAGTTAATTTAATCTAGCCCAAGTACTTTCACTTAAAATAGCATCTTCAGGGGCATTTCGTCAATATATAAACTATCCGGCAAGCATAGAATGTGGAAACATTAATAATAACATAAAATTGTACAAAACACTACACTAAAACGAGGACAAACAGTTTAAAATTACTTTAAATATTCTACGCTACATTCTTTGTCAGTATCTGGAGGGATAATAATTATCAAACTATTAACAAACCGTTTAAAATTACTTTGTCAATATCTGGAGGGATAATAATTATCCCTCCAGATACTGACAAAGAATGTACCGTAGAATCTTTAAAGTGATTTTAAACTGTCCTCGTTTTAGTGTAGTGTTTTGTATAATTTTATGTTATTATTAATGTTTCTACATTCTACGCTTGCCGGATAGTTTATATTTTGACGAAATGCCCCTGAAGATGCTATTTTAAGCGAAAGTACTTGGGCTAGATTTAATTAACTTGTGCTCGATAATAGCCTTATTTTTCAAAGTATATTCTATAGAGTTCGAAGTTGTATCGTCTTCTCGAGACACCATTTTCATTTACCGCTCCATAGATTATTCGCCTTAGTATTTTTCTTTCGAAACATCCTAACATTTTTTTATTGCTTTTTGTTAAAGTCCAGGTTTCTGAACCATATGTCAGGACTGGGCGTATTATTGTTTTGTAGAGTTTTAATTTTGTATTTCTTGATATAACTGTAGATTTAAAAAGGAGATTAAGACCCCACTTGTTCCCACAAATACTTTATGCTTGGTAAGCTATCCAAACGAGTTTATAGACATGCTTTTGGTTTAATCCACGGCATATTAAGGAAACCTGTAGATATCATTGCTCAAATTTTTCGAGACAGAGATATTGTGACGCCACCTAGTAACAAAGAAAAGCATACAAATAGACCCAACTGAAAATCTAACGAAACACTCAAAAATGTGAACATGCACATCCAGAGCTTTCTAATACGTGAACCGCATTGTAATAGAAACAAATTCCGTCGATTCTATTTATCTCCTGATCTAAATGTAAAGAAGATACATGAACTCTATTTGGAACTTTACGAACCAGAAAGTATTAGCAATCCTAAATATAAATCCAAAGTTCCTTATGGCTTCTATAATCGATACTTTATAGAAAACTTCAACTACAAGTTGAACCTCACCTTGACCAGATACGTGCAAAATATGTGATGTCTTTGATAACTAACTCAAAGATGTGACCCTCGACGAAAATGAACAAAAGTTTTAGCAGCAGAAAAAAAGTTGCATGAAATTAAGTTAAAACCAGTTGTGGAGATATAACTTCGGCGTCCATTCTTGTAAGACAAATCAGGCACACTTTTATATGTATGATGAAATTACGGCTCGAGAGTCACCAAACGAGGTAGTGTCATTTTTGTACCACTATATAAAAAATATACTCCCCAAATATGTGGGAAGTTTTATACCTTTTCTCCGATAACACTGCTGCGCAAAACAAAAACTTAGTAATGATTCAGTTTCTGTATATGCTGGTGAGAACTAGGTCTATTGACAAGATCCGCTTTCCTGAGCCAGGACATAGCTTTCTTCCCTGTGATCGCTGCTTTGGAGTTATTGAGAAGATTTTAAGAAAGAAGGACTACGTTTTTAGCCCACAACAATATGCTCATTTTGTTAAACAATCATTTAAACAGTTTATTTCCATTCTGGTAAAACAAAATATGATACTGAACTTTAGTGGTCATTATGAAGGACATTTTTTAAAAGTGATCTCAGATGCAAAAAAGCAAAGATTCCAGATTTCCAAATACCAAATTTTCCAGTACAACAATGATCATTTAGATAGTATTAAAGTCAATATATCTACTGGCCTTTCGAGTTTTCACTTATTCCAAATCTTAAGAAACCTTGACCGCGACCTGTCAGTATTTTCTGATATTCCTGTCTATTGCAGTCCTATACTTGTCAAAAAGCCAAATATGCAGATGTAATGCAGTTGGAAACACAATTCGTTCCTATGGATCAAATGGCTTTTTACACCCGTCTCACAAGTGATGCAGCCATGGAAGAGAAATAGAAAACCGAATCATCTGTAACGGATGATGGCGACCAGGTAGATGAATGAAAAATGTGTTTGCCCGTGTGTTTAATGTTTTATTTTTTTTTTCTGAATGGTATTTTTTTTGACACCAACCTGCTTTTTTTACATATTTTTTCGTATTTGTGTAGTAGGCAAACCATAGTCGTTTGATTGTTATTACCGAATAATACAGTTTTTGATTTGAATTTGTTTTTTTGTTTCTAAAAAATGATGGTAAAGAAGCAATAATAACTATTGATCTTAATACTTTCATTTCGATATTGTTGATTTGTTGTTTCGTCTTCTTTGTATCAGTCCTTGTCTCCGCTGCATATGTAAGGATTGGTCTTGTATACTTTCATTTTGCTTTCCGTGGTCAGATATTTGTTTCTCCATATGGTTGCTCGGAGGCAACCACTCATTCTTGCCACTTTTTGTTCTTGCATTGTAGTCTCTGTTCTTATATCCCTATCACTAGTGATCTCTACTCCTAGGTAATTAAATTTCGTTACTTGTTCTACAACTTTGCCACCTATTTTTAGTTTGCATCTACGCGGCTCTTTACTGATCACTATACATTTGGTTTTTTCTACTAATATTCTCATATTAAGTTTGTTTACCGTGTTATTAAATGTGTGGAGCTGCCTTTGCAGATCATTCTCGGAATCAGTAATTAATACTGCATAATCGGCATAGCATAGTATCGTGATTTTATATGCTCCCATCTGGTATCCGTGTCGTTTTCTTACTTCGTAAATTATTTGATTCATTACCATATTGAATAACAATGGGATGAGTGAGTCTCCTTGGCGGATTCCTCCTTTTAGTTCTATGCATTCTGTTTCTCCTGTTAACAATATAACTCTGGTTTTGTTGTTCTTGTTAATTTCATTAATCGTCCTTATTAGGTGATGGTCTATTTGTTCAGCTTGTGATAAATTTAAGATGTCATTTCGCTTCACCCTGTCAAAAGTACTTTTAAAATCTACAAAGCACATGTATGCTGGTTTTCCATATTCAATAGACTTCTCTATTATGTGTCCGATAATAAAAATTGCGTCTATTGTGCTGCGGTTCTTCCGGAAGCTTTGTTGTTCATCTGCCATGTTTGCTTTTCCTCGATTTTATCTTTTATTTCTGCCGTTAACAAGTTTAATGTACTAGGCAAAACAAAACACTAGACAAAACACTAAGTGCAAAATACTTAGTCGTAATTGCCTTTAGTATAAGCCTAATTTAAACATAAAAATCACAAACTAACTCCGTATTTGGTAACTATCTTTAAACCATTTAATAAAATGTTTTCTAGTTTACTTACCTTAATACTATAGTTAGCTAATAATCTTCCTCTTCTTAACGTGCCACATCCCTAAGGACATTGGCAATCATAATGGCCACTTTGACTCTATCTTCAGCCGTTCTGAAAAGTTCTATTGACGTTTACCCACTCCATTGTCTCAGATTCTTCAACCAGAACGTACGTCTTCCCCCCGGTTATCTTTTGCCTTCCACCTTCGCTTGTATGACCAGTCGCATTAATTCGTATTTTTCGTTTCTTAGTATGTGACCAAAGTAGTTTAAGAGTATTTCTTTATCTTTTTTAATTCTTCGTAGCCTTTCCGCATTTGTTATATGTTATGTCCAAAATATTTTCCACATTCTTCGATAACACCACATTTTAAAAGTTAATGAGTCTTTTAGATGATAATATTAGTTGTTATTCTTAATATTTATTAGATATAAATAATAATTGTAATACATAGGTAATAACTAATTCTTTTTCAGCTGATATTCAACCTACTATATCCGTGGATTTGACAGGGGAAATGTCAGTAGATGCCTTTTTCGCTAGCACTGGAATTAAACTTAAAACAAACTTATACAGTGACAGCGCTGTTAAAGGAGAAATTAAAATTAAAGGGGCAAAACTTGTTAGTGTCAAGTTTAGTTTACCTAGAGAGAAAAATGAAATATTTGTAGCTAGGTAAATATTTTGGTTTATTATTTTAACAAATTTAACAACGTTTAAATAGTAAAATGGATCTGAAAATATAATTATCATTTCTAAACATAATATGGTAAATTTTTGAAAAACTAATGATATTAAACTAACAAAATATTCTGAAACTGTTTTTGTTTGAAGATAATAAATAGAAAAGTTTGTTCACTTCTTATAAGTGGCTGCACTAAGTATTGTTGTTCTTTATTAGAATAAACGGCAGAGGTAAAAAAAATGTGTTGTCAAAGAAGAGTCATAAAGTGATCTTATGGTGACTTCTGAAAATCACATTTAGTGAATTTCATTGATTTATTTTCCTACTAGTGAATCTAGGATTCATTAAAAAAATTGATTTCCTAAACACTGTAATGTGTTTCTTATTTGGTGCGAAAATTCAAAGGTAAAAAGAAAGGGTTTTCGTTGAATCACACACATCAAAAAAAATTTTGGGAGCATTTTTAAAAATAATTCTTAGCAAGCAACGTCTGATTTAGGCTTTCATTCTCATTTAAAATTATTTCTTGTAAATTTCGAAGCAATTATAAACAAACATTATAAACGATTTCACCAGAACATTACTCGAATGGTAGAGCAGTCATTGTTATTATTTTTGCCTTTATCTGTATGCGAAACCAGCTTCCGTTAAGGCCCGTTAAATCTTTTATACCAGCCTGTTAGGCATAGGCCCCTCAAGCAGTTCGTATGCAGATCCTATCGTGAATTCCAAGCACCAAGCTCATGTGCGGCATACATGTGCTCGGTGGCCGGACCCCACTCAGATGGAGGAGAACAAAATTTATTTTGTCAAATTGGCTGCTGAGTGTCCGAGCACACACTTTTTTCGGATAGAGAGTTATAAGCCCAGGCTAGTGGCTCTCTGTTCGAAACACACACTTTTTCCTTTTTTCACCCGATGTCAAGTTAGAGTAACTTTAATAGAGTCAGTAAAGTAAATAGGGAAAAAAGCCGATATGTGTGCTACCTTCATAGTTAGGTGGCTTAACCACAGTCAATAAAAACAGAGGATGTTCCATTATCAAGGACATCCATAGTAACTTTCAGATCATAAGCCTCCTTACGTAAGTCACACGCTGAGGATGGGTGGAGGAAAAGCCTGGGGGTCAGATGGGTACCACTTCAATAGCTAGCAAAGTGTGACCAGTTTGATCTTCGGACATGTGGATCCCACTTTACAATGGTGTACACATGTCCCTAGGTGCAGAGTTGATTACATGTGCGTGTGTGTGTGTGTGTGTGTGTGTGTGTGTGTGTGTGTGTGTGTGTGTAGTCACGTATTCCTAGTCAAAGACAATCCATAGTTCGGCAAAGAACTCCAATCATCCTGAATCCACCATAGCCAGCCATAATTCCCCTATAATTAATTTAAATATTCTCTGTGTCCGCCAGAAGGAACAAGAACTAGGAGTAACTGCCTATTTTTGTTCCATAAAATAAAATTGGACGACCAATATTACATCAAGATAAACAGAGCAGTTCATTATTTGGAAATAAAGAACTCCATTTTTTACTTCCAACGGACATATTCGGGAAGAACTACGCGCATCACGGAAGTGATTCGCTTTGTGATGCGTGTTGATTCTGATTCTTTCTGGTCAGAAATGGACTAAAAGCCACAGCTTAAATGTTATAATTAAATCCAACCAATCTAAAAAAGAGGTTCTATAAGACGTCATCTCTCGAGAATTGATTATTTACCAAAACAAATTTAACCTTAACATTATTTGAAACGCAATGCATTTGTATAAGAAGCACATAGAAATGAATGATAAAAACTAATAATAATCAATGAAAAATTTAAAAATTGGGTAAATATTTAATACAAAACAACAGGTAAATTTAGGAAAAAAAACAGTTTTGGTGTTTAATTTGTTTTTGTAAATGTTATAATTTATTTTTAAAATGGTGTACAACAGAGTTCACATTGTTTATGTTTTCTTTAAGAAACTGGATTTGTGACAAGCCAAAAAGGGAAAATATAGAAAGGAATGAAGCAGTAGTTGAGTTAGCTGTTTTGGGCCACATTGCAATACTTACTTACTTTCCGTGTCTGAAACACCAACAGTTTTAAATTTTGTGTTTTCAATGGTTGGCCACATAGATGGCCCTGTCATTCGCTAAGAATAAGATTTCTTCTGTACAAATCTCTTTCATCCCTATGCATGATAGTAGATGGCGATTATTCTGAACCGCGCCACACTCGCCGGTATCGTCCTCCTGGTATCCCATTTCTTCAGGTTACTAGCACAACGTGAAACGCCAGTTCTAAGTCTGTTTAGTGCTTTCCACTTGGGATACGGCAAATTGTGTTCAGCAGCCATTTCCTATGAGGGAGCAAAATGTGTTGCAGTTGACGCTTGCCATAGGTATATCGGCGCGTCTTTGGCTCTTCGTGAAGGGGTCGTGATTTTTTCAGAAAGCTTTTCCGAGATATTAATCTACTTGGCTGAATTTGGTGGTCATACAAGGGATGTCTATGATCCGTCTCCTGCTTCTTTCGTTCTATCTCTGACGTGACCTCTCTTCTGATAGCAGGTGGAGCGATTTTAACTATAGGGTAGACCTCTTCGATAGGTGTCGATTTCAGGTAACCAGATATTATACGAACCATTTCATTTAACGCAAAATCAATGTTTTTAGCGTGAGCAGAGTTTTCCCACACTGGTACTCAAAACTCGGCGACAGAAAAACATAATAAACATAATAAGGTAGAGGTACGGAGAGTGTATGGTTGTACTCCCCATTTTGTGTTTGTAAGTTTGCGGATGGTATTATTATGACGCATACTTTTTTCTTGATATCTTGACAGTAATGTCGATAAGACAGAGTTTTATTTAGATATACGCCGAGGTATTTTGGCGTCTTATTGTGTTCCAGCATCTGACCACGCCATTCCACCTCCAGTGTCCTTCGGGCATGCTTGTTTCTAGGGTGTAAAGCACACACCTGGGTTTTTTTAAGATTGGGTTTCCGATGGTTTTCGTCATAGTATAGTGTTAAGTCTTCTAGGGCATCTGTCAGTTTTACATCGACTTCAGTAAAGGTACTTCCCTGAGCTGCCACAGCTGTATCATCCGCGTAAATAAACTGTCTTTTTTGTTGGTTTTTGGGTTGGTCGTTGGTGTAAATGTTGTATAGTAATAGCGCGGGGACACTTCCCTGTGGGGAGTCCATTTTTTGATCCCTTCACTGACTGTTCTTGGACTAGAGCATTATATAAAAGCGTCTATTCTGGAGAACACATTTCATTAACCTTGTTAGTCGGAAATCCTTTGTAAGTTCGGAGAGTTTTACCAGCAGCCGTTAATGGTTAACTGTGTCATAGGCGGTAGTCAGGTATATGAACGCTACTCCTGTTATTTTTTTCCGTTCAAATCCATCTTCAATCTGTTGGGTGAGATTAAGAGTTTGACTGCAGCAGCATTTTCCGGGTCTAAACCCTGCTTGTTTAGAAATAATTTTAGTGTCCCCAGATTCTGCGATCCGGTTCAGTATCATTCTTTCAAACGCCTTGAAAAGGTGACACGAAAGAGAGAAAGGTCTAAAACTCTTTGTATCCGCCGCATCCTTTCCTGGTTTTAAGAGGGCCACGACTCTAGTTTTCCTTCAGATTTTGGGGATTTGGAATGTACGGACGCAACAGTTCATCATTTGTACGAGCTACTCTAGGGTTTTTGGTCCAACGTGCTTTATTTGTTCTGTTCTTATATCATCTCCTCCAGGCAAAAGGAAGTACCTAGAACAACCTCTTCTTCATCGATATTTCGTTGTACTCTTACTGTGTTCTTCATTGATGTCGTCTAACATTTTTCAGCAGATGATGAGCTATCTGATCCGGTGTGATTTTTGTCAGATTGGGAGTCAGGGCGGCGGAATTGTTGCGAAGATTCCGAATTAACTTTCAAGCGCGTCTGCTGCTTTGTTTCATGTCTAGGCGCGTGACCAGCTTGCACCGCCTGTCCATTATGTTGGCGGATATCGCATGTAGCACTTCCTCTCCGGCCTGAATTGTTGCTTCCGAAAAGGTATCTCCTTCATATAGCTGCTCGTATCTTTTAAGTAGAAGTCTAGATTCTTCATTTAGTCCAGCTATGTATTCGGTTCGGCAACCTCTAGAAATATATTTTCGTGATATTTGTTTTACAATTTGTATAAATTTATCGTATGAATCAGAGCACGGTTCTAGCTAGGAAACTTCTTGATTTAAAGCTTCAGCGAATTTTTCCCGTTTTGCTTTAGTGAAATTGAACCCTCTCTTGAAAGGAACAATTTCGTATCTGATAGCCGCCTTCAAAAAACAAGTTATTGATCTGTGCTGTATTTTTGGGAGGGCGCTTCAAACAATTTTTGTCACCTGGTTTCCAATCCTGTCGCTGACAAATATATTGTCTTAGACGAGTCAAGTTAGTAGAAAATAAGCGTTTTTTCGTCACAACTGTATAGACGGGTTTGACAGTTGAAATGGATAGTATGAGATATTACAAAAAGACTCTCATCTAGGGATTCATGAATTTTTTAGTGGAACTATTTTTAAATAAACAATTAAGACGTCAATATCATTATTTTGCTCATAACTTATAAACTTGTCTATTTAGAGATTTGACGTCCACAGACGAGTTGTTGAGAAAGAAAAAATACACAAAATGAGATATACTAAATTAAAATCGGTTAATAAACAAAAAAGTTTTTGCATAATAACCAAGTAAAACGGCTGTTTTTGATTATTGTTAATAACTCTTTTAGTAATCAATAAAATTTATTTAAATGTATCTGAACTTAAAGATCTCATCGTGTTCGAAGTGTGTGCGAAAGATAGGCTAGATCCGTCAAATAGTTTTTGCACAATTTAATTTGTTTATAAGATTTTTTGAAAAATGCACAAATTTCTAAGGCCGGTCCAGATAATTTGACTGAATGGATCTTAATAATCCGGGGCTTATTTTCTTCGATGAGACATATATTAATAT